AATAAACTCAAATGGATAAAGGACTTAAACATAAGACGGGAAACCATAAAAATATTAAGAGGAATCCACAGGCAGCAAAATCTCAGACATATGCTGAAGCACTATCTTCACCGATACAGCTCCTAGGGCAGGGGTGGGCAACCTTTTTGTGAGTGCATGCCAAAACCAACAAAATATCTGACTCAAAATTCTTCTGCGTGCCAACCCTAATTTTTTGAGAACATGTTATGCCTACTTGATCTCTCTTAAGCTGTACGTTTGTGAAGAACCTTGAAGAAATAAAATTCATTCGAGTGACAAAAACACAGTATATGATGATGAAAAATACATTTATTTTTTAATGATACACGTACACTGATAGTCCGACAGAAAAATTTATGACTCCGTTTGATATTATCAGTGGAACTTTTGCTGCTGCATCACTGATGACAGAGATTTTACATCAGGTTTATATTTCGTGACCTTCAGAGATATGCACGAGCTACTACTTTCATCCGTCAGGCTACTCCTATTATGAGACTTAACAAAATTCATCACTGAGAACAAAGATTCACAAGCGTATGTGGATGAAACCAAAACACTGGTCGGATCTAGGAAGGCAGGGAGAGTTAAGGCAGAGGCATAGAAATTGCTCTTCCCCTCTCTCGTCAATCCATGTCTATGGTCTTTAAGATAACTTGTTATGTAAAATTATTTATTTATCTAAGATGCACCTACACTGAATTTATCTGAAAAATAAAGAAGTTGATATTAAGAAAAAAACTGTAAATGGAAGATTATAAGAGAGGGTTTCGTGTGCCAGCAAAAGTTACTGGTGTGCCATGTTTGGCACGCATGCCAGGGGTTGCCCACCCCTGTCCTAGGGCCATGGACACTAAAGAGAAAATAAATAAATGGGACTACATCAAAATAAAAAGCTTCTGCACAGCAAAAGAAACCATCAACAAAACAGTAAGAAAGCCCACTGGATGGGAGAACATATTTGCCAATGTTATCACCGATAAGGGTTTAATCTCCAACATTTACAGGGAACTCATAAAGAACCCAATCAAAAAAGGGCAACAGATCTAAATAGATACTTTTCGAAAGAGGACATTCAGAAGGCCAAGAGACATATGAAAACATGCTCAAAGTCACTAATCATCCAAGAGATGCAAATCAAAACAACAATGCAGTATCATCTCACACCTGTCAGACTGGCTATCATCAACAAATCAACAAACAACAAGTGCTGGCGAGGATGCAGAGAAAAAGGAACCCTAGTGCCGTGGTCAGCAAACTGCGGCTCGCGAGCCACATGTGGCACTTTGGCCCCTTGAGTGTGGCTCTTCCACAAAATACCACATGTGGGCATGCACGTACAGTGTGATTGAAACTTCGTGGCCCATGAGCAGAAGTCAGTATTTTGTGGAAGAGCCGGTATTTTGTGGAAGAGCCACACGCAAGGGGCCAAAGAGCCGCATGTGGCTCGCGAGCCACGGTTTTGCTGAGCCGCAGTTTGCAGTTTGCCGTCCACTGCCTAGTGCACTGCTGGTGGGAATGCAGACTGGTGCAGCCACTGTGGAGAATAGTATGGAGTTTCTCAAAAAGTTAAACATGGAACTCCCATCTGACCCAGTGATCCCACTTCTAGGAATCTATCCCAAGAAACTAGAAACACCAATCAGAAAGGATATATAGCCGAAACCAGTTTGGCTCAGTGGATAGAGCGTCGGCCTGTGGACTGAAGGGTCCCGGGTTTGATTCGGGTCAAGGGCATGTACCAGGGTTGCGGGCACATCCCCAGTGGGGAGTGTGCAGGAGGCAGCTGATCGATGTGTCTCTCTCATCGATGTTTCTAACTCTCTATCTCTCTCCCTTCCTCTCTGTAAAAAATCAATAAAATATATTAAAAAAAAAAAAAAGAAAGGATATATGCACCCTTATGTTCATAGCAGCACAATTCACCATAGCTAAGATTTGGAAACAGCCTAAGTGCCCATCAGCAGATGAGTGGATTAGAAAACTGTGGTACATTTACACAATGGGATACTACGCTGCTATAAAAGAAGGAATTCTCACCATTTGCAACAGCATGGATCAGAGGTCCTCAAACTTTTTAAACAGGGGGCCAGTTCACTGTCCCTCAGACATTCCACACATGCGGACTGCGGGCCCAGGAAGCTGCCAAGCAGGACAGGCAGCAGCGCCAAAAACACCCAGCGGGCCAGATAAATGCTTTTGGCGGGCCGCAGTTTGAGGGCCCCTGGGATGGACCTGGAGAGCATTATGCTAAGTGAAATAAGCCAGTCAGAGAAAGATTAATATCACATGATCTCACTCATTTGTGGAATATAATGAACAACATAAACTGATGAACAAAAACAGATCCAGAGACAGAGAAGCATCGATCAGACCGTCAAACCTCAGAGGCAAAGTAGGGGAGGGTAGGGGTAAGGGGGAGGGATCAACCAAAGGACTTGTATGCATGCATATAAGCCTAACCAATGGACACAGACACCAGGGGGGTGAGGGCATGAGTGGGCTGGGGGGAATAAGGGGATAAGGACACATATGTAATACCTTAATCAATAAAGAAAAAAATAAAGATATGCAATTTTAAAAAAGGAAGAAAAAGGATGAAACTGGATCCCTATCTTCCACCATACACAAAAATTAACTCAAAATGAATTAAAGATGTAAACATAAGACCTGAACCCATAAAACTCCTAGAAGAAAGCACAAGCGGGAAGTTCTCTGACATGGGTCTTGGCAATTATTTTGACATCTGACACCAAAAGCAAAGGCAACAAAGCAAACTAAACAAGTGGGGCTACATCAAATAAAAAGCTTCTGCACAGAGAAAGAAACCATCAATAAAATGACAACCTACAGAATGAGAGAAAGTATTTGCAAGCCTCATCTGATAAGGAGCTAGTGTCCAGACTATATAAGAAACCCATACAAATTAATAGCAAAAAAAAAAAAAAAAAAAAAAATCCCATTTAAAAACAGGCAAAGGACATAAATATTTATGCAAAGAACATACTCAAATGATGGCCAACAGGTACATGAAAGGCGTTTAACATCACTAATCCACCGGGAAAGCATATCAAAACCCTAATGAGCACCACCTCTACTATCAAGAGGGGAGCAAGCGTTGACAAGGAGGTAGATTGCAGCGGGACGAGGCGGTGCAGGAGACGGCCCTGCTGCAGTCCCTCCAGCAGCAGCACCAAAGGAGTAACTGACAGCAAACCCGACCCGAAGGTTCGCAGGCGGCAGTGGGACCACTTCTGATGCTGGCTGACATCGCCCTGGGCTCTGGGCAGCTTGGAGGGAACAAGGTGGCCACTAGGGCAGAGGCCCAAGACCAGCTGACTGGGTGGCTCTCCAACCCAAACTCTCAAGGGGCTGACTCCTGGGCTGAGGCCCAGCCTTGAACACAGCACAATCTTCTTGAACCGGATTCCCCCTCCCTCCTCCTCTTCCTTTTCTCCTTTGTCTTCACATCTGTGGTTATTTTAACAAGTCTTCACTGAGCAAAGACTGCCTATCCGGCCAGGAGCTAGGCACCACAGGAGAAATTTATTCATTCAACAAACACACACCGTTCCAGACAGGGATCTGGGCCTGAAACAGAACCAATCAATTCCTGACCAGAAGACCCAAAAAGTGAAAACAACCCACAAAATGTGCCGTATCTGTACAAAGAACATAAAAAAAAAAGAATGAAAAATGCTACATACAACATAAATGAACCTTGAAAACATTATAAGTGGAAAACAATCACACAAAAACACACACACTGTATGCTCCATTCAGATGACATGTCCAGAACAGGCAAATCCACAGACAGAAAACAGACCAGTGGTTGTGGAAGGCTGGGGGAGTGGTTGCTAATGGATACAGGGTTTTGGGGAAAGTGACGAAATTTTTCTAAAATTCACTGTAGTGATGGCTATACAACTCTGAACGTATTGAAAACCACTGAACTCTATACAAGTGGGCAAATTATATAGTATGTGAATTATACCTCAATAAAGCTGGTAGTTTTTTAAAATCTCCACCCTGATGAATTGGGAGAAGAGGAGGAACCAGAACAAACAAAATATTTAAGTAACCACATATAACAAAATATCAGCAGTCTGGAGGAAAAGAGAGCAGGGAGGCAGGACAAGGATGGCTTCTGAAATGTTTACAGATGCAGACAGGTGGCCTCACTCGGGGATGAAGACCTGAAGGGGCCAGAGGAGCCAGCAGGCAGCTACCAGGGGGAAGCGTGTTCCGGGCAGCAGCTCCGGGGAATGCTAGGCCCGTGGTCGGCAAACTGCGGCTTGAGAGCCAAATGCGGCTGTTTGGCCCCTTGAGTGTGGCTCTTCCTAAGCCTTAGGAGCATCCTAACTAAGTGAATAACAATGTACCTACCTATATAGTTTAAGTTTAAAAAATTTGGCTCAAAAGAAATTTCAATCGTTGTACTGTTGATATTTGGCTCTGTTGACTAATGAGTTTGCCGACCACTGTGCTAGGCTCACAGTGCCTGGCAGGCAAGAGTCCAGCTGAAAGCGATAAACTCTAAGTGTCACTGAGAACGGGAAGCCCCCAGCGCAGTGGCTCTCAACCTTGGCTGCACATTGGAATCACCTGGGAATCTTTTTAAAATCCTGATTCCTGGGCCTCATCCTCCGGAATTGTTTCTTTGTTACTAATGTTGTGGCCCCACCCCATACATAACAAAGAAACAGAATTTCCGGAGGATGAGGCCCAGAAATCAGGATTTTAAAAAGATTCCCAGGTGATTCCAATGTGCAGCCAAGGTTGAAAACCACTGCCCCAGCATGACGCACAAGGAGCTCCAGGTGTGGTGAGGTTGTGTCTGCAGCTACCAACACCAATTCGGGGTCCAGTCTGTGCAGGGCCCACAGCAGCTCTAAAAACATGTGTTGGATGATGAAGGATGCATCAACGAGTCTGCCCCGTGTCTGCCTCCAGCCCTCCTGGACCCCGAGGCCCCGTACCTTTCCAGCCCAGTCTGATGTTCCACTCGTAGAAGAAAATCAGCTTCCCTTTGCGGCTGCTGCAGGAAGCCTCGCCTTCCACCTGCTTCAGGTCACTGATCTGGCAGCGCCCAGCCTCATTCTCCACCACGATACCCACCAGGGACTCTCGGAGCTTCCCCTTGGACCAGCTGGTGGCGTCCCGCTCTGTCCTGCCGGGGAACAGAAGGGCCGAGCCGTGAGTGGAAGGCCCAGGTGTGTCACCTGCCCAGCCCAGATCAGCCTGACTCCTCTCCGGCCTTAAAAGAGCTGCCGCCCTCAAACTTACAGCCTCCTCAAGCCAACCTTCTACCAGATAGCCTTTACTCCTCCTGCTCAGTTTCTTAAGTAGCATTAGCCACTATATAAAGTAGGATTTTGTCTTGAAACCACCAGCTTATTTGGGGGAAAAGAGGGTCTAGCAATCTGACCAGTTGGAAATGGATGGGCAAAGCCTGGACCATATGAAAAGGTAGCAATAATTGAAATAATTCTAATCACAGCAAGAAAAAGTATCAAGTGTGTCCACACCTATTATTTTACGCAATCATCCCAAATGATGTTCCCATTTTGGGGAGCGGAAATGAGCCCAGAGAAGTCCATGATGTGTCCATGGTGACAGGGCTAGGAAAGGGGAGGGCAGCTCCTCCAAGCCCCAGGCCAGGGCACCCCAGTAACCCATCCCGTCACAGCCCAGGGCTCCCCAGTAACCCATCCCCTCACAGGCCAGGGCACCCCCAGTAACCCATCCCGTCACAGCCCAGGGCACCCCAGTAACCCACCCCTCACAGCCCAGGGCACCCCTGTAACCCATCCCCTCACAGCCCAGGGCACCCCCAGGGCTCCCCTCTCCCGGGACCTGCCTCAGCATCACCTGATGGCCCTGAGGTCCCACAGGCCTGGGGGTGGGGGGTGGGGAGGTTCGGGGGGTCAGGGAAGCGATGGTGGGGGAGGGAGGGAGGCAGAGAAGAGCCAGTGTCCAGATGAGGCCCAAAAAGGAGGGTAACTTGTCCAAACTCCTCCAGGGCAGGGCTCCCCCAGGCCCATCAGGTGGAAGCCGCGTTAGGTCCAATTCCTGTTCTTTCCGATTCGCACAAACCACAGCACAGACCCCGCTCCCCGCACACGCTTTCAAGCTTCATTTCACTTCCAACACTAAGATGATGAGGTGTGTGCGGCGGGGACGCTTCATTAGGGGACAGACTGTCCAAGTTGGAGAGTGAGTCCAAGGCCATTCTCGGGGCCCAAACCAACTTTCCAAAGGGCTCCAGTCCCGGGGGCAGCGCCCACGCGAGGCCAGGACCCAGCTCGGAGGGCGCCCCGGGCCGGGGCCGCGGAGGGGGAAGGGAGGGGGGGGCGTCCTGCACCTGCGCCAGCCCCGCCCCCGGAGGGACCCCGCGGCCCGAGGGGCCCCGAAACCCGCCACCCTCCACCCCGGCCCCTGGGCACCGGCGCCCAGAACAGAGGGGCCCCGCCGGCCCGCGGGAGGCGGCCCGGAAGCCGCCGCGGCCCCGCCCGCCGCACCAGTGCCAGTTGTTCACGTTGGTGCCGTCCTCCCGCTCCTCCACGATCCAGCGCGGGTCGCCCTGGCCCCACTTGGCCATGTCTGCGCGGCGCGCCCTCGGCGGGGACCGGCGGGGGCTGCGGGCCGGGGGCTGCGGCGCCGGCGCTTCCGGCCCAGAAAGTGCGGGAGCCCCGCCCCTGCGCCGCCCCGCCCACCGCCCCGCGCTGCGCGCCCGGCGCTCGGAGCTCGGAGCTCGGCCGGCCCGGCGGGCGGGGGCCTGGGGCGGCGGGCCCGGCGGGCTCGGGGGAGCGGGAGGCCCCGAGAGGTCCGCCCGAGAGTCGGGAGCGGGGGAGGGCGGGAGAAGGGGAACGTGGGGTCCGGGAAGTGCGGTGTGAGGAAGCGCAGGTGGGGCGGGGAGATGTGCCGAGACCGGGCTCCTTGGGGCGGCCCGCGGGCCGGGGCCTGGCGGGGGCTCCTCGGCGCCTCCCCTCGGGCGGGCGAGGGCGGCGATGGTCGGTTTCGGTGCCGGGAGCGGGCGGCCGAGGCCGTGCTGGGCCGCAGACCGAGAGCGGCTGTCGGCGGTGGCCGCGCCATCGATCGGCCCCAGCGAGGACCCACCGGAGCACGAATCGCGCCGTTGGCTCCACGACCGGCTGCCCAGCCCGGAGCGCGCCCGCGTCCATTCTGTCTGCAAGTCGCTGCGGTGGGCGCACCGGGTCCTGCCCGCGGCCTCGCCCACCTGCGCCCGGAGCGCGAGCCCCCGGGTTCCCAGCCACTCAGGACGGTTTGCACGTTTCGCATGTCATCCTCCCTGATGGCCGGCGCGTGTTCCAGCTTGCCGCAGTTTTACAGTAATTAGGTGAATATTGGTTCCTTAAGGAATCGTCACCTTCTAGCAAAAACTTTGTACCCGCTGTGTGTGAGGTGCTGCTAACGGCCTGTGGAGGTTTAGTGTGGGAAGCGGGTATGACAGCTGGGCGGGCGGGAGCCTGACTGCTCCACCCCCGGTGGGGCCCTTCCCTTTGCCGGGCCTGTGCGCATCGGTGAGAGAAACTAGCTGGTGGAGAACATTTTTTCTCCTTTACTTACCTGGAGCTACCGCGTTCCAGTTTCCAAAACACAACAGTTATATAAACAAACTGCTTTCAAAGTGTTTTAGCCCCAAAACAAAATGACATTTTGATTTCATCTTTTACACTTTGCCTCACCAGAGGCATGGACAGCTAAACACACGTATCACATGGAGAAGAATTGCAATGGCAATGCCCGTGGCACGGTTTTCTTGTGCATTAGCTGTGCAGCTTTTATCTAACTCGTAAAGAATATTAATGGTAGAGCATGACACAGTAAGATGTAGGTACGGATAATTAGAACCTGGGGGTGGGGGGGGGGAATAAAACAACAGAAAACCTACAAAGGCAGAAGCTATAATCACTAAAATTTTATGCGGACAAAAATTTTGGGGGGCAATATTTATATAAAAAGAACTATCCCAATGGAAACAATTATATTAAAATGTAAATGGAAAAGGCATTGTGTAGTAATTGGTCAAGAATTAAGCCGAAACCGGTTTGGCTCAGTGGATAGAGCGTCGGCCTGCGGACTGAAAAGCTCCCAGGTTCGATTCCGGTCAAGGGCATGTACCTGGGTTGCGGGCATATCCCCAGTAGGAGATGTGCAGGAGGCAGCTGATCGACGTTTCTCTCTCATCGATGTTTCTAACTATCTCTCTCCCTTCCTCTCTGTAAAAAATCAATAAAATATATTAAAAAAAAAAAAGAATTAAATTGGCCTGCCCGGTGAGAGTGGCTCAGTGGGTTGATCATTGCCCTATGCACCCAAAGGTTGCCAGTTGATTCCCAGTCTGGGCACATACGGAAGGCAACTGATGTTCCTCACATCAATGTTTCTTTCTCTCTCCCTTCCTCTCTCTAAGCATGTCCTTGGGTGAGGATTTTTTAAAAATACTAATAATAAACTCAAAAATTTATTTCTCTCTCACTAGTGGTTCAAGACCAATATGGAAGCCTGATGTGTTGGGCTCCCAAACTATATATACCATTTCTGAGATGCTGCCCTCATCTGCTTTAGCCACTCCCATATTCTTACCTGTAGGAAGACAGGGAAGATAAAAGGAGGGCGTGCTTTTCTCCATTTACAGGCGTGAGTCAAAAATTGCAGACACTATTCTTCGATGACTCCCCACACTCACCCCTAAGCAAGGCTCACTCAAGGTCTGGCCTGCCTGCCTCTCCAGCCCCTCATCTTGAGTTGCTCCCGCGCCTGCACCCAGCACAGCAGCCACCCCATCTGCGCTGTGACTTTCAGGACTCTGCCTGGCGGGCTCTTTCCACCCTCACCCCTTTCACCCAGACTCTGCACTAATGTTTTTCTCCACAAAACTCTCCCTGGTGTCTCCACTTCTCAGTCCCACCCCCTCTGCCAGTCCATTACTATGTTGAGTTTTATGTCTATCATATCATGCATTTTCATAGCTCTGAAGTCAGAGGGCGTCTGCAATGGGCAGTGACTTACAACTGCTCTTGGCCCCTAGTGAAAACAAGTCCTCCCAGAGAGCATTTATTTTTGCTGTTCCCAGGCAGTACTGTGTGGTTGGCAGTTCTAAGATGAGCCTCAATGGTCCCTGCCTCTTGGTATTCATGTCCTGTGTATCTCCTCCCCTTGAAACATTGATGAGGGGAGCATCCATTGGCTGCCTCCTGCACCTACCCACTTTGTGGGGATCGAGCCTGCAACCCCAGGGGGCGTGTGCCCTGACCAGGAATCCAACCTGTGACCTCTTGGTTCCTGGGTCAATGCTCAACCACTGAGCCATACTGGCTGGGCCCAAATTTTTTTTTTAAAGAGTGTAATTTATCCATGCTTTTCTTTTTTGGCTTTTGGGTGATGTGTCCTGCCTAGGGTAGTCATTTGAAGAAAACCCCTAGGTTAAGAGCTAATTAAAAAGGAAAAGTGGCAAGCTTCATCCCACTTCTGCAAGAGAAACAACAATGAACATTGAGAAAGACTTACTCAATTTTTCACTGGATCCATAGCTTAGGAGAGGGAGAGCCTATAGCTTTACTGCTCATTGTGTCTTTATTTGAATTTCTGGCAAACACATCAAATTCAACAGAACTAAAACCCAGACAACCTTTTCCCTCAAATTAGGACTTTCCTATTTCTGACAGTCTCATGAATCCAAACTCAGAGGTCATCTCTGTGTCCTCCCTTCGTCCCTCCTGTACCTAACCAGAAATTGGCATTCCTTACTCTTCATGTTCTCATTATTCCAGATCACCTCCCTGTCACAGACCCTCATCCCTCAAATCTGAATTGTCACGATAGCATCTCCACTTGTCTCTGCTTGCTACTTTCCAATATCCTCATCCTGCGAGAAAGTTCTCGGGGATTCCCCCCACCATTATCGCCTTAAACTGTTTGTATGTATATATCTATATAGTGTCACTTAAAATATGTGTAAACATAAAACTGGACATTAACTTATTATCCTCAGAGCCCTATCTGACTCTAAAACCAAAACAAACTACAAATCAAATACAAACAAAAGCGTAAAACCAATAAAATTCACGTTACCATTTAGTGCCAGATGCTGTTCTGTTGACTATTCTGCTGATCCTGTTGCCATGGCACTGACGGCCTTCTGGAATTCTGTGTGCCTGCAGTGTTATGGGCCCTGATGGCCAATTTTCTACTCTTCTCTTAGAACTGCTACGAAACCTTGGTTAATATAGTCAGTCACCAGGAAATTTGGCCTTCACTTTAACATAGATGCATCATGTATATATTAATTCCTCCTCTACTCTTTTCTCCTCAGCTTATGACTAAGGAACTTGGTTCCATAAATATAGACGCAGATATGGGCAATGAAGACATCATAGGGGAATACACAAGACATCATAGGGGAATACACAACTATAAATGGACATCTAGATAAGTCTGAGCTTTCTTAGATTAAAATTTTAAATATTCATAGCAGCATTATTCACAATAGAAAAAAAGGTAAGAAGCAATCCAAGTGCCCATCAGCAGGTGAGTGGATAAACAAATTGTGGTGTATACATACACATGGAATATATTATTCAGGCTTAAAAAGAAAGGACATTCTTGGCACATGTATAAGCCTTGAGAATATTATTCTAAGTGACATAAGGACAAAAGGACAATACTATGATTCCACTTATGTGAGTTGCTTAGATCAGTCAAATTCATAGGGACAGAAAATAGATTGGTAGTTACCAAGGGCTGGGGTGGGGTTGGGGGTGAGGAGTTAGTGTTAATGGATATAGAGTTATAGTCTTACAAGATGAAAAGTGTTGTGTGGGTAGATGTGGAAATGTACAATGTGAAGGTACTTAACATTATTGAATTGTACACTTTAAAAATGGTCAAGATGCTGTGGTACATTTACATAATGGAATACTATGCAGCAATAAAAAAGAACTCTTGCCATTTGCAACAGCATGGATGGATCTGGAGAGTATTATGCTAAGCAAAATAAGTCAGTCAGAGAAAGGTAAGTATCACATGATCTCACTCATATGTGGAACCTAATGAACCAAATAAACTGATGAACAAAAACAGACCCAGAGACATAGAAGCATAAACAGATTGTTGAACCTCAGAGGGAAGGCAGGTGAGGATGGGTGGAAAGAGATCAACCAATGTACTTGTATACATATAACCATAACCTATAGACACAGACATTGGGGTGGTGAGGGTCTGGGGGGTGGAGTAGGGGATAGGAGCGGGCTGGAAGAGGTTAATGGGAAAAGAAGGACCTATGTAATACTTTCAACAATATTTTTTAAAAATGGTTAATTAATATGGTAAGTTTTATGTATATTTACCACAATTTAAACTTTTAAAAATATTATCAAGTGAAAGACCAAAATTTTTAAGTGCTTGTAGAGAACTCATGGGCTCTGAATGAATATTTTTGTAGACCCACACACCCTGCAGTCCACACTGCTTCCATCTGTTCTCCACCTATACTCCTAGCCTGGGATCCTAAGAGTAACCTTGCTCTGACTCAGTTACCTCTCAGCTCTCCTCAACACCAACCTGCAGCTCCAGCTAACTGGTGTCCACCAAACTCAGCACATATGCTCACCTCTTTGCCTTGGCTTGTGCCTTTCCCTGTCTGAGATGCACACTTTCCTCTGCTTGTATCATCCAATCCTTCCGTTTGGTTAAATCCCTTCTCCTCCTCACAATGAGATAGTCCCAGGCCACAGTGAGTGCCAGTACTCCCCATTTAGCATTAGTTACACATTCTAAATTATGTTATCACTTACTCTTTCAATCACTCCACAAACATTTATTGAGCATAGGCCATATTCATGACAATGTGCTACGCCCCTGAATCAAATGCTGTGTTTTCTGCTTATTATCTCTCCCACGGTCCCTGACACATTTCATAGGTGTTTACTGCAGTGGTTTGGGTGATGTTGCACTGGTCTGTACTATCATAGTCCTCATATAGACAGCAAATTTTAAACTACTGAAATCAGGAATAGTGTGATCTCATGACTTCCCTAACATAACAGGAAATTGTTAGTAATGGTAATTTAAAAAAAAAAATCAATATTGAAAAGCAGTTGTCAGTACAAGAACGGTTTCAGAACTGAGTGCAGTAGGGATTGTATGGTAAGGGATTCTAGACCTAGTTATTGGAGGTTTCCTTGATGATGGTGGGAACGGTTTTGGCCATGAATGTCCATGGTCATCAAGGACATGTGCTGTTTCCAACGTTACTTTGAATACCATTCACCTAAGATAACTGCACAAAGTAACTTTATTCATAGGTTAGGCAGTGTTTGAGTAGACTGAGTTGCAAGGACACTTAATATAATCAATTTCTTGAACTCGGATTTGTGTTTAAAAACACACACATTATATTCAAGTTCTGGGTATTTTGCTTACAGAATTTTGCATGTAGCCCACTTCTTTCTGCACAAAGATAAAATGTTATTTGTAGTTGCTTAATTCTCCATTATTTTGCCGTTTCAACATGATTTCATACCCCCAGTCATTGCACTGCTAGTCTCAAGTTACATTGCTTTCACTCTCAGCCTTTTCTGACCTTCATTTTCTCTCTTTATGTTCTTGAATATGGCTTTGCGGTGCAGGGTGTTTCTCCCCGAGATCCACAACAATCACCTCCCTAGAAAACGTCACTTCTTTTAAAGGTCTTTTGCTGATGTCAGTAACTGAAGGGGTTCCAGTGACAGATATGTGTGCTCCTTGCAAATCAGCGTCCTGCAAGAGAATGGGACGGACTGCGTAAGTGATCATTTTATGAACACAACAAGCCCTGCTTTTGAAAATACAGGTTATATGTACATTGTTAGTAAGGAACAGAAAAGTATCACGAAGTGATATAGGAAAACTGTGAGAACCCATCATGTTCGTATTTCTAGGGTTTTAAAAGCAAACACTGACACATCCAAATAGCATTTGGTAACGTGTGTTGTTCTCTCTATGTTGCAGTCAAACCCGGAGCTGCCTGGATCATCGTTCTGTCTCTGCCTGGGCCTGGGTCTTCTGTTGGGAGGGCGTGTGAGTTGTTCTTACTAGGGAGCTCCAAGCACGGAGCTAAGGAGCCCTGGCAATGTCTGTGTGCTGGCCTTGAAGGAGCCCGAACTCAGAAGGGACACAGTCTGGTCCCGAGCTAAGCCACGGTGGAGGAATGACCTTGAACAACTCATGTCACTTTCTCATTTGTTGGATCCCTAGATGATCTCCAAGACCTCCTCCAGCTCTAAGCTTCAAGGATTCTGAGAAAAGCAGCAAAATGAGGGGAATTATTAAGAAAAACACAAATGTAGCCATGAAGAAGGAGCATATGTCAGGCTTGGCATATGTAAGTCGTTAATAACGTGAACCAATGAAGCTAAGAAGAATGGTTTAAATGACCATGGACATGGCATTCCTTCCAGGTACAAACCTAAATCACAGGCAAGAGCATCCCTTATTGTGCCTGGCCATGTGAGCTACCCCCTTACCGTCGGACAGATTCTAAACTGCCCTTGCGAGGTGCAAGCCCATCACCTTTGGACTGTTCTCTTTAGGACCCTCAAGATCTGGACCCTGAAGATCTGGCTTCTTTTGTATTTTGCCCTCCACTCTGCCCTCTATGTCCTCGTTGTTTTTCAAGTATGCAGCCACCATTTCTTTACTCAGTCTGTGGACAAGGATGCCAGGCCTCATGATTTGCTTTAGATTACTAAAAAAAAAAAAAAAAAATCAACCAGCAGGGATTTTAAAATTCATGCACATTAGCCACCAGTATCACATGCAGAAATGGCTTTCTACGACATTCTATGGACATTCTATGACACAGACTTACTTTTCTTGGTCTCCTGGTTTGCTTGTCTGCACATTATCAGTTAAACAATCTTCACAAGGACCGTTTTCTGTCTCTTCAGTTTTCCTGCTTTGGAAACTGAAAATGAACAAGCAAACAGTTCAGAAAAAGGAAAAATGGTCTTGGTTTAAGACTAGCATGGAACTTCATGTTTACAGAGGCAATTTGCATTTCTCAAACCCTGAATGGGAAAAGTAGCTACAGAATTGTTATTTCATCTATTTTAAATTATTTGATCTTATTTCAAGATACATTGCTAGTGTGACTTGAAATCTGATCCCAATTTATCAGCATGGATTTATACCATTTATATAAAAACAGCATCAATAAAAAGAGGATGGAAGTAAAGCAAATGAGGAGGAGGATGACGAAGATGATTGCTATGGTGTCAGAGCTCATAGGCTCAGCTAGAGACTTATCCACTCTCGCAATCACGGTTTGTCCAAATATTCCTTTTCAGTTCAGTTTGAATGTCGATCTCTTGTTCTTTAAGTTTTCTAGAAACAGAAGAACTAAAGGCTGTTTTCATTGTTCTTCTGGCCAGCTTTGTAAAAGATGCTCTGCTGTGTGCTCCCTCAGCTCACCGCCCCTCATCCCCCAAACTATCCGAATCTAAGGAGAGAGGCACTGGGGCATCTGCAGCTGAGCCCCGCTACCCTCTCTTCTCTCTTCAGTGACATCACAGACTCATGGAACCATTGGGTTAGAGGGACTGGAGCCCAGCCCAACCCCACCCATCACCTGGAATCAGGAAATCCACAGAGCTCTCCTCTGGGCTGCTGTCTGTCAGTCCTCTCCTCTGAGACGGTGGGGGTGGAGGTCACCTGACACCATCTTGGCCACTCTTTGGACAAGGATTTTCTTCCTCTTCTTAAAACCATGCCATCCTTCCTTCCTTTCACCGGAGCCTGCTAAACTCACTGCTTTTTTCACAGACCATAAACCATCAGTCCGCTTCCTCCTTATAAAGTCCTGCTTTGTAGCCCTGAGGCTGGTAATCAACTCACCTCCTAGTAGCATTCTCTCCAGACCGCATAGCCCATATCCTCCTCATCCCACAGCAATGGGCCTACTTCCCAAGCACTGGCAGCTCTAGAGGCCCTGGCTGAGCTGACCAGAGCAGCGATGACCCCTGACGCACCCTAACTTCAGGTGAGTGAGCGGTGCCCAGGACAAGGGAGGGCAGAGCTAGGATTTTCTGAGAAAAGGAAGGTACAAAGGAGTATGGTAGCTGCTGCCAATCACATCTATAAAAGTCAAAGGTGAGCTGAGGGGTCTCTGGGCTGCAGCGACACTGGCTACCTCCCAGAAAGGCAAGGACTATGGCTTCTTTACCTTTGTATACTCCACCAAGTCAGGACCTGAAATTCCATAAATATTTAGTAAGTGTGTGTGTGTGTGTGTGTGTGAGCACAAGTGTAGTTTACTGAAGGGCTCAGGCAAGGCTGATTCTGCAGAATGTGAACCTCTGAGCCACTCAGCAGTCAGCAGGTTCCTGGATGAAGCGTTCTCCAGCCAAGGCTCTGAGATGAAGGCTCAGATACACTGCTGTCCAACTGAGGCTTGAGTTCAAGTCTTCTCATGCCTCATGGACACACAGGTTTTTCTGGGAGATTTTATATCTAGTTACTGGTGGTTACACTGAGTTAAACATATGTAAAAATCCATTAAATTTGTGTACTTAAGATTAGTACACTTCATGCCCTCTACTGTGTGGAAGTTATACTTAAATAAAAAAGGGGGAAAGGGCCCATCCCCTTACTTAAATTTGAGTGTGTGTGGTGCAGAGCAGTGCTGGACTGACGAGGTCAGTAATGGCGAACCTTTTGAGCTCGACGTGTCAGCATTTTGAACAACCCTAACTTAACTCTTGTGCCGTGTCACATTAGAAATTTTTTGATATTTGCAACCATAGTAAAACAAAGATTTATATTTTTGATACTTATTTTATATATTTAAATGCCATTTTACAAAGAAAAATCAACCAAAAAAATGAGATCGCGTGTCACCTCTGACACGCGTGTCATAGGTTCGCCATCACTGGACTAGAGGGCACTGCTGCTGGGTGGTCTGTCTCCAACATTGTTCACCACACATACTCTAAGACCAGAGACTTTTGCAAGGACACAGCAGTAGCAGCAAGTAAGGGCTGGATAAGACTGTATCTAAGGGCTTTCTTTCACTGAATGTGGCTTGAGAATTATACCTTAAATTTATATGTATAGTTAATATACTATAATATGTGGAGGACTATTTGAATTTGGTCTCTAAATTGTATTTTAAATACTGGACTGTAACTGTGATGCCATGGGGTTTTACTTATAGATGGGTCTCCAGGGCCTAACACTATATGCTATGCACAAAGAAGGTTTGTACTGCCCTAACCGGTTTGGCTCGGTGGATAGAGCGTTGGCCTGCGGACTCAAGGGTCCCAGGTTCGATTCCGGTCATGGGCATGTACCTTGGTTGCGGACACATCCCCAGTGGGGAATGTGCAGGAGGCAGCTGATGGATGTCTCTCTCTCTCATTGATGTTTCTAGCTCTCTATCCCTTTCCCTTCCTCTCTGTAAAAAAGCCAATAAAATATATTTAAAAAAAAAGGTTTGTACTAAAAAATTACTTGTGATGGGACATTACTACCAATATTAAAGAAATAAAAAAATATTCTGACAGTACCATGAACAATTGTATGCTAACAAATTGGTTAACCTAGCTGAATTAAAATATTCCTAGAAACACAAAACCAATGAAGACTGAATAATGAAGAAATAGAAAATGTGAGTGAGAACTGTAATAAGGAAACTTAATCAATAGTCAAAAAGTCCCAACAAAGTAAAGTCCTGGACCAGATGGTCTCACTGGGGAATTCTATCAGACATTTAAAAAACTAACACCAATCTTTCTCAAAGATTTCCAAAAAATTGCAGAAAAGGGAACATTCTCTAACTCATTCTATAAGGCCAATATTACCCTGACAACAAAGCCAAGGACAATACAAGAAAAGAAAACTAAAGCCCAATATTCCTTATGAATACTGAGGCAAAAGTCCTCAACAAAGTACTAGCAAACTGAACTTAGCAGCATATTAAAAGGATTATATGACCATAACCAAGTAGGATTTATTCCTGGAATGCAAGGATGGTTCAACATGCAATACACCACGTTAACAGAATAAGGGGGAAAATACATTATCATGTCAATTGATTCAGAAAAGGCATTTGACAAAATTTAACATTCCTTCATGATAAAAAGGAAAAACATTCAACAAACTAGGAATAGAAGGAAACTACCCCCAACATAATAAAGGCTACGTATAGAAACCTCACAGCTAACATCATACTCAATGTTGGGAAAATATTTGCAAATCACATATATGGTCACAGATTAATATCCAGAATATATAAAGAACCCCTATAAGTTTGTGTTTATGTGTGGTATGAATATATAAAGAATTCAACAACAAAAACAACCCAATTCAAAAACGGGCAAAGAACTTGAATAGATAGTTCTCCGAAGAAAATATACAAATGGCCAAAAACCATATAAAAAGATGCTCAACATCACTAATAACTAAGGAGTAAATCAAAACCACAGTAAGAGACCTACCCAGTTTGGCTCAGTGGATAGAGCGTTGGCCTATGGACTGAAGGGTCCCAGGTTTGATTCCGGTCAAGGGCATGTACCTGGGTTGTGGGCACATCCCTAGTAGGGAGTGTGAAGGAGGCAGCTGATCGATGTTTCTCTCTCATCGATGTCTCTAACTCTCTATCCCTCTCCCTTCCTCTCTGTAAAAAAATCAATAAAATATATTTTAAAAAAAACACAGTAAGATACCACCTTACACCCATTAAGAAGGCTAGCATTAAAAAGAAAAGAAAAAAATAGAAAATGACAAGTGTTGGTAAGAATGTGGAGAAATTGGACCCTTGTACATTGCTGGTGAGAATGTACAATGGTGCAATCACTGTGGGAAATAGTATGGCAGTTCCACAGAAAATTAAAGAATTACATATCCAGCAATTCCACTTCTGGGTATATACTCAAAAGACACGAAAGCATGGGCCCGAGCAGATATTTGTACACCCATGTTCATAGCAACATTATTCACAATAGCCAAAAGGTGGAAACAATCCAAGTGTCCATCAATAGGTGAATGGATAAACAAAATGTGGTATACATACAAAAGAATGCTACTCAGCCTTTAAAAAGAACAAAATTCTGGCACACGTTGCACATAGATGAACCTTGAAGGCATTATGCCAGGTGAAGTAAGGCAGCCACAAAAGGCCTGATTTCACTTATATATCAGATACCTGGGACAGTCAAATTCATAGACGCAGAAAGTATAATAGAGGTTACCAGGTGCAGGGATGAGGGGGAAATGGTGAGTTATTACTTAATGGGTACAGAGTTTCGGTTCAGGAAAGTTAAAAACTTGTGGAGATGGATAGAGGTGATAGCTGCGTAACATTGTGAATACACTTAGTGACACTACAGTGTACACTTAGAAATGGTTAAAACGGCCAATTTTGTGTTGTATGTGTTTTATCACAATTAAAAACGTATTTGTGGAACAAAGGAAAGTAGCTTGGTATATGGCAGGCACTGGAAAAATAAAACGAGCACAGAGACCTTGTTTCAATCTCCATCCATTTGCTCATTTTGTTGCCCACTGTGAATGTCCTTGTCCCTCCCTCAGACCTCTACCTGTCCTCATCTCTAAGTCCTCCAGGTCTTGGTCTTGGATTGCTCCTCCATGATGCCATCGCCATCCGCTGGGCTCCTTGCTTCCTCTCCGTTGTCACTGCAGCTCAGTGACGCACTGTATCACCTACCTGCATCCCAAGCCCTTGCCCTGCCCAGCTCCAGCTGCAGGCACCCGGGGAAGTGGCAGCATCTTCCCCATTCTTTGTTATTTATCTCCTCCCACCTCACTTTCCCTTGGCCTCAGGCTCCCAGAACCCTGCACATTTTATTCCCTCCTGTGATCAAAGCCTGCTTTCTAATCCTTCACTCTAAGAATTCCTGACAGAAATGTAAAGTGTTCCCACTCTCAAGGACATTTATATTTTAACACGGGCTTCAAGCAAAAGCAAGACAGGGTAGAATGTCAGGCATCAGCCAGCAGATAGGGAGTTCTCTTTGGAGCCAGGAGGGCTTTTCTGGTGGTCATGGCATCTGTCACACTGCGGTCAGACATGGGTTCCTCCAGGCTGAGCAGTCTGCTCTCCCTCCCCCTCCTGCCTGGAGGCTACTTCAGGGTAGTGGCCAGAGGATGTGCACTCCTGGCAACAGGTTCTACAGCATCTTGTGCTCCAGCTGGACCTTGATCCACATGAGCTGGTGACATCCTTTGACGAAAGCATGATGCTTGAATTGCAGGATCAAGATGAGGACATCCAGAGGATTCACGAGTCACAGCTGCCTCGTGAAAACCAGGGTGCGCACAGGACCCAGTCCTGCTTGATCAGTCGCAGTTCAGGGGTCAACATGTGCTCTGAGTCATCTCAGCTAGTCTCAGTGTCGGGACGTTTGCAGAAACCACCAGCACAGAAGTGTCAACCAGAAGCTGAACCTTCAGTTGTATGAGCCTCTCCTTTTTGCCTTGCTGGTCTGAGTGAGGTTTATGTCTCTTGCGATCCTTATCAACACGTTATAATCAACACCATACTGCCTCCCTTTCTGAGCCCTTGATTCCTAACATGAGATTCCTGCATTCCTCACGTGAGAGCCACTGAGCCCATTCACTACCTTGTTGGACATTACATATGTTCACCCCAGCCTCAGTGACAAGGGAAATGAAATGAGTTCCTTTTCTCTTTTATCAAATCAGCTCAGTCTTTTCCCAACCACAGCAGTGGGCTGCCTGGAGATCTTCTTTTAGATTTTACAAGGCTAAACGGAAGGTACTGAAACTCCTCAACATCAAGGTATGATATTTAACCAGGCACTTATATTGAAATAGGTTTTCCCCCCCTACATTAATGGACAGCAAACCAGATATGGGGCTTTATTGTGTTAGGCCAGTAGAAGTTGGTGATGAAATCATGCACTGTCTGTTCCACAGCCCCACCTGGGAGATCCAGTCTGGTCACCGTACACCAATCCCCAAATGCCACAGTTCAGCAGAAGAGCCTGCCAATTCACTGCAAAAGATGTGGCAAGACTTTACAGCTAATATCTATTCATCTGGAATCAAAACATCTCTGAAAGTGTCAGAAGCAGGGCACTGTTAATATTACATGATAACCACCCATAATTGCGTTAGTACATCCCTGACTTTGACCACAATAGACACAATACGCAAGTGCCCACCCATTCCAGGGAACATTTTAAAGTCCTTCTGTCTCATGCTCTACAGCAGACCTCAGGAGGAAGGAGGAATACAGTGCTGGGGATTCTGCCACCACTGCCCGAGCCATCATTCCAATGGTCCCACTCCACCCTTCAGGTTTGTGAAGGGCACACCGAGGTTACCTACGTATATCCTGCCCCTGAGCTCAGAGCTTCACCATCCACTGCGTAACATGAGCCAGAAACCTGGAAGTCAGCACAAACCTTCTCCTCTCCCCGCCTCCATCTAATCAATGACCACATCCAGCTGATTGACATCCTAATCTTTCTCCAAACCACGCCTCCTTTTCATCTCTACCACCTGTGACCCAAGGTCAGCCAGGATGTCATTAACTCTACCTGGACTATTACAAGAGCTGCCTAACTGGTCTCCTTAACTCGGAATTTGTTCCTCTTCAACTCACCACTTACCAACCCATCCAAGTGTTCTTGGTCAAATACAATTCTGGAAATGCTATTCGTGGCCTAACCTTTCATCAGCTCCCCATCACCGG